TAAGTACTTCTAATGCTACTCCCACTCCCACTCCTTTTCCTACTCCTTCTAATCCTACTCCAATTCCTTCTATTCCTATTCATATTACTCTTACTCATATTCATACCAAAACTAAAACTACTTCGTAATCAGGATTTTCGGCATCATTATTTCGGGGGCCCTGAAAATCGAGATTGATCAATCAGGGGGGGGGGGTTATTTATTAATGCGAAGTAAACATTAAACCCTACACCCTAAACCCAAACATGTAGACAGACAGGCAAAGGGAAGTCTTGGGGGGAGCTCATGCTGGGTAATCTCATTGGTCACAGATGACTACTGTACAAGCCTGCGAAAGTATCAACAGTTTTGCCATGTTAATATCATACTTAAACCTCTAAATCGTAACATGCCTCTCAGCCCCGTTCCTAGGCAAATAGGCCCCTACAGGAAAAACGCCAGCACGCACCACGCGCTTAAACAAAGTAGAAGTCTGCCAATCAGCATACATCAAGAGGGATATTTGCCAGTATACCTCCGAAATCGTGTTCTGGCAACTCCGACCTGCAAAACACCACTCCCACTTTACTGGCCTTTGGTTAGCTAGGAGTGAAGGAAGCAAGCCTTCTAGTAGTCCCTATACAACCCATTATAGTGGTTTAGATTTCCTTGTCCATTCCGTCACTCCCAGCTAACAACTGGCCAGCTTAATGTTGGGAAAGTATTTGAGAGGATTGTTAAACAGACCGGATAGGCAGTAGGTTCCGTTTTGATGCAGAACCCATTTGCATTCGTTGTTTTCTTTCGTAGCCATCGCTTGAAAGAGAGGAAACGCGGCAATCAGCCAGGTACCTCATGTTATCACCACCGCCCCTACTAAACTCCAGACCTCAAAGCCAAGGGTACATCCTGAAGCCTAGAAATATCCAAAAACCTGAACCTTCAGCCAGCAAACCCCAACCCTACCGCTGAATCCTCTCCAAGGTCGGAAGTAGGGGGCGCATATTAGGACCTTACCATACCCTTAAACCTTAAACCGGCCTTTCGTAGGGGAATCGTCAGGATTCAGGGTCTAGGACCCCTGACGGCTACTTGTCGGGTATATGCCAGGCGCCAGGGGCCCCTGGATAACGGGCCCATGCAAGGGGCCATATTTCCAAACCCTAGCCCCAAACCCTTGAACCGTCGAACGAAAAGGTGAAGATGCACAAATCATGGGTACACATGCCTTTTTGAAAAGGTACATTGGTTGCTCTAGGTAAGCCATGAACCCTACACCCGTTAAACCTTAAACCCTTAAAAGCTCTACGCCATTAGACCGAGACCAGAAACCCTAAACCCTCAAACCCGAAACCCTGCAGGCCATACACCCTGAAACCCAAAATTCCCAAACCCTACACCTGCAAATTCTCAGGTCTGGGAGTTTTTTGAGTGAAGCGCTGGCAGCAGAACCACAACTGGAGTTGCTTGCAGCCGCCTTGCGCAGGTAGGGCTGCGCATTCTAAGGGGGTGAGGTGCTTTTGAATTATGATAGTCGTTATAGGGTTTGGGGTGTAGGGGTTAGGACGTAGGTAGGATTGGGGATTTAGGGATGCAAGATTGGGCTTCAGGGATTAGGGTTTAGGAGTTGAGACACTGTCCAAACTTGGCCCCCTCCTCCCCCAAAAACAGGCCGCACAACAAGGGGCGTGGGGTGAAGGATTTGGGGGTTGGGGTGTAGGGACTGGGGTTTATAGGGGTCCTGAAGTCCAAGCCCTCAATCTCTGAACCCTAAAACCGCAACCCTAAACCCTTTGGTCCACTCCCCTCCAGGGATACGGGTGATAGGTATGTGTATATGGTAGTTTCTCTAAATAGGCGGACCCCAATATAGACCCCAATATACTGGAACCCTTAGCATGGGGATCCTTCAAGGAAACCCCCATGCATGGTATATATCTAAGCAAGAGAATTTATGGGGATGTACAGGGATGAAGGGCCTCCCACAAAGGAATTGAATGCTTCCGGCAGGAAGGAGGAACTGCTGCAGGACTTGAGCAGCCTAAGTCCAAGCAGAGCTCATTTGGCCATGACCTTCGGCTATCTTTGTACCTCTCTTTGGCACTTAGCTTGGGCCTTTGACCCTTAACTTTGTGGGGTGCTCTCATATTCCTATTCTAGGTACCTAAAAGTTAGCTTTTAGTTGGGGTCCTAAGTGCCACGTAGAGGTCTTAGGCTTTAATTAGGCATGGTGGGCAGTTATAAGTGGGGACGTAGTGCTATAGGGTTTTTGGGGTCGGGGTAGTCATAAGTGGGGTTATTTTAGGATGGTAATACCTGAAGCTTTGTGACCCCGACCCCGTATGAACGCCCCGCTGGTCATTACCGCCCAGCCGTAAGCTAGCCCAAAGGGTCCAGGAGCCTAAATAGGATGTACTTGGGGTCAAGGAGGTACATACCTTCCCTCACCGTTTGAGGAAGTGTTGTTGATGGTTGTTTGGGATACGTTTGGCTTTAGGGCCTTAGGGCTCTGGGTTATAGCAGTGATCTACGAGCCGTGAACCGTATGGCCGATTGTGTAGAGGCTTCTTTAGGGTTTTGGATGAACCTTGAACCTGAGCCATGAATAGTCTCCGAAGTTACCAGCCTTAGGTGGACCCCCTCCCTGTAATAGTGGTACCGTGACATGTTTTTTTAATAAGTGGAGGGCGGCCAAACCCAACGTGCCAAAGAGGTAGTATGAAAGATCTATTTAAATCCGGATGTTTTCCTGTTTAGATTCAATTCCGGATGTGTTAATCTTGGGCGGCCGGACGCCATGCTTTGCGGAAGTAGTATAATGTACCTGTTCGGTTGTTTACGTGTCCGGATGTTTAAAAAGCGTCGCCGTATAGTAAGGGATATAAGAGGACCCTAGAGGAGTTTCTATCACCCCTTATAGTCACTACTGCTGGGTGGGGTGTCCACCTAAGACCGACCCTTCTAATCTTCAAAGAGCTCCTGAGAATTCCTATGTATCCCAGCGTCGCTGGCAGGGCCCCCTTTGAGCAACCTCCATAATGCGGCATGTATTCGTTCAAGCAAGGGGAGAGAAGTTGTGTTTTGATTGGGTTAGGCTTTTGTTGGGGATACTGTGTCAAATTACTGTGTGAAAGACAGACAGACAGACAGACAGAGAGAGACAGAGAGAGAGAGAGAGAGGGAGAGAGAGGGAGAGAGAGTGGATTTGCTCCTTTCCAAAGCCCGCACGAAAGAAAGAAAGAAAGAGACTGGATTTGGGGCTTCTCCAGGATTAATGGTTGATGCCACTTACTTGCTCCTTCGCGGTCTCGTAAACAAGGGGACAGGTCTGCTAACTGTGATATTCACGCCCCCTCCCCCCCCGAAACCTTAAACTCAAGACCCCTCCACATCCTCAACCGATTAATTACCTAGAAGGGCAGGTACATCAGAACCTAGTTCTTACCAGAGTGATAATAGCCCAAATAGAAGCATGCTCAGATGTTTTGTGGGTATGATTACCAATAGCTATACGTGGGGCCCCATATCCCGTATAGTGCGGGCCTCCAAGTGCCAGCGGATGCCCCCCCCTACTTACTTGAAAATGATAGGGGGTTTAGGGGGGTTTAGGGTTTAGGGACCCGAGGGAGATGCAGGGATTGTAGGCTGGTTGTGAACGTCCCTGTTAGGGATTCTCGAGAACCTTGTTTTTGAGAAGCCCCCATATTTGACTTCCCATAATCAGGTTATGGGGTTTATAGCTTCACATGGCCGAGCATCTTACGAAAAAATGTAACATCCCTTAAACCTAAAAACCTATACCCTAAAGCTTAAAACCCTAAACTCTGAAACCCTAAGCCCTAAGACCCCAAACCTGAAAGCCCTAAACCCTAAAACCCTAAACCCGAAAACCCTAAACCCGAAAACCCTAAACCCGAAAACCCTAAACCCGAGAAACCTAAACCCTAAAACCCTAAACCCCGTCCTGCCCAAGGAAGAGTTGGGCTTCTGCTGCGGTGCAGAGCCTGAGTGCAAATAGCACGGCCTCGTCCATCGGAGCTTGGTGGGAGGAGGTGCACCCGGCATTTCGGGATAGCGGATCAGGTTTAGAATATAAGTTTTAGGATTTAAGTTTTAGGGTTTAGGATTTAGGGTTTAGGATTTATGGCTTAGGCGTGAGGGTTTAGGATTTAGGATCCATGGTTTAGCGTTTAGGATATAGGTTGTGGGGAAGTTGGGATTGGGGCCCATGGTTAAGGTGCAGGGATTATAGACCGCAGGGTTTAAGCTTCGGAGTTTAGGGGTGAGAATTCGGGTGTTGCGTTGGCATAGACCTGCTGGCTTCCTTCCGATGAGCATCACCCGCTGCACCCCCCAAGCCCTAAACAAGGCTCCCGCCTAAACCCTAAAGCCTAAAGGTTTAGGAATTGGGTTTAGGTGCACGGGTCCAAGCGCCCAATAATTATCAAACCAAAAGCCTCTACCTAAGCCCCCAAAACTGGTAGGGAAATTGTTCCGAACAACTGGAGAGGTAATTGTTCAGAGCACCAAAGTCAAGCAAGGCCATTACTCTACATACGTACCTGTGGGTATGTGGAACCCTCCCCGGATGTCAGGTCTTTCCTGGCTGCCGGCGAACTGGAAGCAGCAAAGGCAGCTGCGCTGAAGCGGTGCGCAGAGTGGCGACAATCAGACGCCCTGTGACGATTTGGGGGTTGCAAAAACTGAGACCTAAACCCCAAACCCTAAACCTTTTCGGGCATCCTCATAACAAGGATTACAGTTTTTGGGGGTCTATATCGGCAGGGCCCTTTTTTCTAGGGGAGCTACCATAGTAGGAAGCTCAGGGTTCAGGTTCCGGATAAGGATAATCAATAGGAGGGATGTTGGATACATCGGGTTATATAGGGATCCATAGGGGTATTTAGGCATAGTTGGGGTATATAGGGAGAGACAGGGATATGTCTCACATATTGGGTTATAAAGGACCATCTACAGGGAGACATAATGCTAAATCGGCCTGTGTTTCGGGGTTATACGGGTTGGGGCTCAGGGTTTTCAAGGTGTCTAGAGCAAGGGGTTTAGACTTAGGGTGGCTGAGGCATGTGTTTAGGGTGAGTCAAGGGTTTCGGGGTTTATGGGGCTCAGAGTCAATTCTTTCAGGTGTCCCAGCCTCCAAGCGAGCGAGGGCATGTGGTTGTGAGGCTCCATAGTTGTTGCTCATTTTGTGCATCTCCAAGCAGTCCGTCACAATCCTTAGACTAGAGGAGTGTCGCCCTTGTAGAGCTGTGGAATGATGGTGTGCGATTATATATCTACATATATATATATATGCATATTGGGAAGCTATACTATACGGGGCGTACATTTTTGCCTAAACCCTAAACCCCTTACACGCCTTAGCCCAGTTGCACCCTAAACCCTCCGCCTGCGAATTAAACGCCCAAAACTTGAGCCTGCGCTCATGAATCTTCTTCGGCGAACAAATTAAACCCCCAAACCCCATCATCTCCACAAGAATGGTGTATGAAACGGAAACTGGCTTGGTAGCAGGCAGCGTTTAACTATAATCCCCTATATAAACCCAGTTTCCATTTCATTTTCCATTTTCTTTTCCATTTGATTCTCCATTATAGTACCCATATTACCCCCAGTAAGCTACAAGGTTCCCCATTAAAATTCCCATTCTAAACACTATCCCGCGCCCTCGGCTGTTTGGATGCATACCACGGAAAGAAAATCTCCTCTGAAGCACTCGTACAAGGCCCCTTCGACCGGCGAATCTAAAAAAGCTAGTCTTTGCGTTTTGTCTGGCTCGGAGATACCCTGAAATCTTGAGGAGCTTCACATTGGGAAGCCCTGAATCTCAGACGAATCCTCAGCCTAAACCCTATATCCTAAAACCTAAATTCTAAACCCTAAACCCTGGACCCTCACTGGTTGAACCATTACCTCACAGCCTTGCGATGGCTGAAGCTCCGTTGCAGCAGAGAAACGGCACCCTGGGGCGATACAACAGGATTATCGCACATAGGATTATATGTTAGTATACGGTTTATATAGGGATCTATGGCCAATAATGGAGAATCGGGGATTTAAAGAATTTAGTTTTTTGCCCAGAGTGGGGTGGGTCAGGTGGAGGGGTTGGGGTGCTTGAGCCCTTGGACGTGATTAGATTTCGTTGTTGCTTGGCCAGCTTTCATAGGCGCCCACCACTGGAGGAGTGTGGGGGTGGGGAAGTGGCATGGGTGCTGATCGCGGCGGCGGCAGTGTTTGTGGTGGAGGAGAAATTAGAACACCCCAAACAGCCTGAGGCTGGATGCCTCGGCAAAAGACCTTGTCGTCCTAGATGCTTTGTATTCTTATGGTGTAGGGTAACTACCGCAATAGACGTCAAAATCGTACATTGGTAATGCTTCGAGCCCCTACAGTACGAACGCCTCGGCAGACATGATCCTTATGCACTGCTTCTGTATACAAAGTATACTATACCTCCGATCAAGCCCCATGGTAAGCTGTTTCTGAAACTTCTTTGTTCGCATGCATCTCAGGTGCCGAGGTCGCCACTTGCGCAAAGGCAACTGCGAAAGATACGTCAGAGTTGTGAAAAAATGCTGGGCACGTGGGTTCTGCTTCTTCGTTGGAGAGGGCAGACGGTTTAACTGATTTAGACATATTTTTGTATGGAGTGGAGTTCAAAAGGAGTCACGCAGCAATTTCCTGTCTGCATTGGAGTGTATACATCCTATGCTGCGATGAAATATTCTGCGCTGCCAGAAGGCATTGCAAAAAGGGAAGGCAGCGTCGCCACAATAGTTAAGATGTCCTCCATGTACACTCTCTGTAGGAGGTCTAGCATCCACTTTGTTGAGTAGATGGTGCCAGAGGGATAAAGGCAGCCCATTATAGGATCCTAAACCCTAAACCCTAAACCCTAAACCAGGATGTTGTGCTAATGGCCTCCTCTCTTATCACCCGCCGCCATGCTCCCCTTGGGTCCCCTTGACTAGGGCCATTTGAGCTATAGTTTAAACTCCTTAAAAGGGGTTATATAGGGGAAGTTGTAGGGGACTACTGTAGGGATTATTAAG